TTCCTTACGGCCAGTCCGATCCTGCTGAGCAGCATATGTTGGAATAGGTTTACATAGTCTAATAGGTATTTTCTTTTAAAATAACTATTGATAGACGCACTTAAATTAAATTGATCATTGAGTTAAATAAAAAAGAACTATGTGCAAAGGATGCTTGCTACATAACTATTTTCCATTTCATTCATTTGCTCATCGCCACTTTAAGAACAAACGAGGGGAAACAGCACAACAGGTACCTCTTGAAATGAACAATCTTATCTGGCTTTTCCCACCAATTGCATTCTTAACACTATTTGTAGTGGACGAAATCATCTTCGATCTAAAGAATAACTGAATAATTTGATAAATCCTATCTCTCCGAGCAGTCTACAAAAGGGTAGAGGGATACTCAGCCTGATGCACGTTGGTGCTTTAATTTTTTTTTTGGGAGGGGGGGTTCTGCCCTCTTAAAGGGTGATCTCGGGGGGTGGGGGAGAGTTCGGGCGCCAAATTTTGAGGGTGCACGCACCTATCCCTCCAGAGTATGAGTATTGATCGTAAACTGAATGTGGAAAAAAGTGGACATGTGTGGTTTTTTACTTTGCCAATTCAGACGACATCGCCCCAGTATCAGTTTATGATTTTTTTATATTAGATTCGGAAGAGGAGGATTTGAAGCGACAATTTAGAATTTGCGCACACAAATTTTATTGCTTCATCTGAGAGTGCCTAATGAGCTGAGTTCGCAGTATTTTATTTACTTTTTTTCTGACATGGGAAATTTGAGAATTTTTTTTTAAAAGTGAGAAAATGTGCAGCCTTATTGCATCATCTGGCGGCATTTTCCATTTAAACACATAAATTTTAGCAGGTTAGGTTATTTTGTCATTTTCTCTCCAATAATTGTTCAATTTAGAAACCAAGGACATCCTCATGCTCAGTTTTCTTAACAGTTTCATTTTAAACATGGAATTTACAAAATGTCAGACACCTGCAAATTCTCTAATTCGGGGAAGCGAAGATTTTCCTGCGGATGCTCCTCTCTTAAGTGCTGGCTCTCTTCTCTAGAGACGGATCCAGCAATTTGGCAACACTGGATTTCCTCCATTTAACCCTATGCTAAATAATTGATTCTTGTCGGAGCACTTGGCCCCTCCAAGAATCGATACATTTTCATAGCTTTAAATGGAGAAAAGGCAATGTTGCCAATTTGCTGGATCAGCCAATGCCGGAGCCCTCCTCGGGGAAGTTTGTGCGAGCGTCTTTTTCATTGCTCCTTGTTCTGGTAATGACGGTGTCGGAGGCAGTGCTGCCATGTTATTTTATCAAAAGATTCCGAAATAATTCCGATTTCCGGAAACATTTCGACTGCCACAGTTCCGGGAAAAAGTTCTGAGAAATTCCGGGGGAAAAATTTCAAAATACGCCGGGATTCGGTTACGAAGATCGTCAAATTTGATCAAATAAACGGTCAAACTGGCGAAAAACCGTAAATTTCGAGGGAATTCCGTAAACAGCTGAAAATCCCGGGGATGCAGGGGATTCCGGGAAAAGTTCCGATTGTTTGGAAAGTTCCACATTTGGGAATGAATCCATAGGCGGTTCTAGACCTTCATGCTTGGGGGTGCCCAGAGGTGGAATATTCCGCAGACCTGTCCCGAAGGGTACGGTCGCTTAGGGGAGGCATATGTCTCGGCCCTCCAGTTTTATCCCTTTCTTACCCTCCTTTCTCCTTTTCTCACCTTCCTTTTTACTGATACCCATAAATTCAATGTAGAAAATTTTCAGCAAAACTTTCCATCAAAACTACAATCTTACCATAAAAAAACAGTAAAATCTTTGTAAAACACGGCTATCAATATTTATTCTGTTTAAAAAATTTTCAATTACTTGCTGGGATTTTTTCTCAGTGTGAGCGAATACAGAATCTTTAAAAGCAGTAATTCCACGGTTCCGATAACCGTGCTTAATTTTTGCACGGCACCCATTGGCACCCCCGTAGAACCGCCTATGAATGAATCCCGGGAAATGGGAGCACTGGTCGGAAGACGGTTAGGGATAGCGCGAAATTTGGCAGGATGGGTCGGGTCGGTGGAGCCCTCACACGTATGTGGAGCGAGATGGAAGCTGACGAGATGAGTGTGAGTGTCCTCATCGCCCGCCACCCAGCGCCACCTCTTCCCGCGGCCAGCGCCAACCACATCCACTTTCCATCTCGTTGTGTTTGTTTGTGTTTCCGAGTGCGCACACAAGACCAGGCCACCACAAGACCAGGCCACCACGTGCCCCTGCTCCCAGTCCCGGCTCCCGAGCAGTTCTAGTTCCCCCTCAGTTCTAGTTCCTTCTCAGTTCTAGTTCCTGCGCCCCGCTCCCAGTCCCGGCTCCCGAGCAGTTCTAGTTCCCGCTTCCTAGTTCGCCTGTGATAGTGCACCATTGTGTTTTATCATGCGAGAGGATACTTGCTAAACGCCCGATAATCACCGAACCAGTACGTCATTTTCTATTTCTAGACCTCTTTTCACAGTCTTTGCTCCTGTCTGTCACATTTCAAATCGGGGGAAAAACCGTTTCATTGCGCTGCAGATTTAAAATAAGAGGGTCTTGGAGGATAAGGCGCATGAATGGAGTTTTTGCTATTTTGCGTGTTTGAAGTTTCGAAATTTTATGGATCCTCATGGCGGAAAGAAAGTTCCAACTGACTTTTTGATGCCTGATATAAGGAATTTGGGAGTAAATCTTTCGCAGAACATGCAATAAAACTAGTTTTACTTGAAATCATTAATATCTCAATTTTTTTTTAAAAAAACACCCTCATGCGCCTTGTTCTTTAAGCCCCTCGCATGTTCTTGCGGAAAAATGACAATTTATTATGCTAAATAGAAAGTTAGTTGTGGCACTAGCTGTTGATATGATATGTTTCTGGTTGTGATTTCATCGTTTGGTATGAGTACACGTTTTTTTTTTGACAAAGCATTTGTTTCGCCGCAATAAGTAGTTTACTTCTGTGAGTTACATAGATAATTACTAGGCACCTAATATAGGCTTCGAGTTCGTACGTTATGTGTCCTTTTAGTAATTTGCCAATCTTCACTGAAAACGTATTTATCACGGTTTCCTTGTTGCGCTGCAGATCATACTTGTCGCGTCTCAGAGGTAACATAGTATCAGATACGCGGAATAGGTATAATTATTTATTGTAATGACAAAAGACCAATTATTCTGATGGAATCCTCCGATGTTACTGGACTTTTTTTTTGTGTGACGAGGGTGGCTTTCTACATCATTTAGTTTATTTCCCGGAGTGTGGACTTGCTTTTCATTCCATTTGCCTTTATGGACACTCGAATTGCGCCTTATCAGTGTTTTATGTTTAAGATATGCCCAACAGACAGCAAATTAGTAAATTGGTATCAAGATTTTCACTTGACGCAGAGATCTGACGGACACTGTTATTTCCCTGCTTCTTTTTGAATTTTCAAAAAAAAAAAGGCTAGATTTTTAAAAGCCACACCGTTTCTCTTTAAGACTGCGGAGCGCCCGTCAGCCATTGGATTGCTTAGAGGCCTCATAGTATAGTCCCTAATATATTTTTTTTTGACGAAATGCGATGCTTAATCATCAAGTTGGGCATCCAAAACGCTAACATGGATTATTTTTTCTTATTCTGAGACTTCTAATGAAGACATCTCTAAAACTTACACGTATTATCGGTGTCAGTTGCAGAACGTAATTGATTGCTAGAAAAAGAAATGAGCAAATGAATATGAAAATTTCACATTTTATGGCGGAAATAAGACGAGGAAAAATCAACGATTCTTTGCTTCTCTGATTGAGACGATTGAGACGGACTGAGCAGGATGTCAAATTTTCGGCAATACAGATGTTCAACGCACTGCCTTGGAGTGTGAAGCTACACTTTCGAAATGCTGATCTAACATCGTTTTTTAAGGGGCTGCTTGCTTTCTTATTCGAAAAAGCCTTCTATAATCTCCACGAACTTGTAGGCTAGTAAAATTTAAACCTTGTACCTTATGTATATCGCTGTAACTGTTCACCATGTACCAAATATGACGTGTGCCATAGCCTCAGCCAGAGGCTCAATTGTACAAATTATAAAATAAATAAATAAATAAATAAGGCCATTTCGTAGCTGATTTTTCCTACAGAGTATATTTTTCGAGGCAAAATGTCAAATCGAAACATGTGTCAATTTTAAGATTAAAGTCAAAACTATATCTAAGTTAGGAACTCGGAAAATCGACCAATGGCTGAGCTCTTAAAACGTTAGTTGTAGGATGAAACTCGTAGAAATATATTATGAAATACGCGTGAGGGCGTGACCCGATTCTATATCGACCACATTAACAATGAAGTTCGCAAAATCAAAGCACTTACTTGCAGCCAGGAATAACGCCACTGTTGCAAGATCACTAAAAATGAGATCTTCGCGCTTGATGAAAAATTCAAAAATCAATCTGTAATATTTGCCTAAGAAAAAATTCTAAGCTTCAAATCACGCTAAAGTAACCTACTGTAGTTGACACTCTTATAATATTTACATCAATACGATCTGCCCAAAAACGAAGCGTTCACGTCCGATTATTATATGGACGTATTTCTGTCAAACGGAACTATGTGCATCAAGACATGAGCTCTAGAACCCATAAAAATATATGCATACCAGGGCTCACGTCATAATGCACATAGTTCCGTTTGATAGAAATGCGTCCATATAAATATCGTCATTTAAAAACCACGGCGAATGACGGCACGCACCGCAGTGGTGTTACTGCCGTGCTAAGGAAGAACGCCGCATGAGCCTTCAGACGTTGCCAAGTTTCCTTCGATAAAAACCGAATTTACTGGGAAAATTGTACATATTTTTTCCCCATCATTGCTAGACAATTTTGTACGCAATTTAATCTAAAATATCTGTAAATTGCATGGGAAAATATGCATGAATGTCATCAAATATGCATGTTTTATCATGGGAAATTTGGCAACTCTCGAATGTTCATACGGGGTTCCTCTTCAGCAAAGCAGTGTATACCATGGTTTTTTCTACCTTGGTTTCATCCGTGTTTAAAATCCAGCAATAAGCGCAAATGCGAGTATGTATCACTACTTGACGAATTCAAGGTACAAGAAACCATGGCATTCTTTATGCGCGGTGGATAACGTCATACGCGGGTATGTTTCGAAGGTCGATATCTTCGTTGATATTGGACGTAAAACTGAGCGATTGAGCACGTCTTACTATTTTTTGTTGATTTGTAAATTTAGACCAAAAAAATACGATTTCATGCATAGGCGGATCCCCGTGGAGGAAGGGGGGGGGTAAAAGTGGGTCCGGGGGCCTCCCCTAGAAAATTTTTGAATTTTCGAAACATCCAATCTCAGTTTGACTCAATTTTGACGTGAATAATTTCCAAATGTAAGCGTCTGTTATTTTTCTCTCCTATATTCCCTCCTTTTTCTTCCTTCTCTATTTCTTCATCCTTTTTTTCGGGCGATCGGGGGAGACCCTCTACGCCTCTCCCTAGATCCGTCTAGGATGACTAGTGCAACAAACCCGATCTATAAACTTTAGAAAAACCTGTTAAAATTAACTTCTTTTAAGATTTATCCTAGTAAGATTTAGAACTTTTTTAAAGTTTCCCTCCATAAGTGTTGCTACCAGCACGGAAAAAATGAAATGTCTGATTTAACAATTCAATCGCTAAAAGAGTGACTGCAACGGTTTAACGTAGATTTCACAACAAAAGGATGCTACTTTAACCACCCTTGTCAGCTAATTTAATCACGGAGGTGGTTAAAGTATTAGCATTTTTTTCGTTGTAAAATCTACATTGAAACATTGCAGTCACTTTTTTTTAGCAATTGAATTGTTAAATCAACAATTTGATTTTTTCCACGAGGGGCTTGAAGTTTAAAAGTATGTTTTTTTAAGTCGATCCGGCGACGGAGTGAGCGTTGTTAAGTGAACCAGTTTCAAATGCCGTCGGCCATGTTTCTCAACGTGGGGGAGAGGTCTGAGCCCTCAACTTGCGGTGACTCACTTTCGTTTCAGCGTTTTCCTCGTGATTATACGCGTTGATCAGTTGGGCCGCGGTTATTTTGCGAGGATTTGCGTTCGCGAGGCGGTGCCGACGTCGGCGCTGGTCCCGTGGCCGCTGTCGCTGCGTCTGTACTCGCCCTCGGGCATGTCGTCCCAGCAGATCACCAACACTTCCGTGCAGCAGGGTCGCGACCAATCCGTGGCTCTACACACACACAAAAATTCCAAGTAGGCATGCGGATTTTCCAGAAAAGATCTATTTTCATGCAGAAATCGATTTTTTTAATATCTAACCTGCAGCGACCGATTTCTGCTCAACAGAGCTGCAAACGAGTGGGAAAGATCGTGTGTGCTCTACTCCTGTGTTAAGGAAGAACGCCGTATGAACATTCGAGGGTTGCCAGATTTTCTCGGATGAAATGTTTATTTTTAAGGAAAATTATGAATATTTTTCCTTGGAATTATCAGACACTTTAGATCAAGTTACGAACGAAATTATCTGAGAAAATTGGCGGGGGAATATTAAAAAAAATTACTGAAATTTAGTAATTTTCCAAAGGAAATTTGGCAACGCTTGAAAGTTTATGCGGCGTTTTTCCTTAGCACGGCAGTCGAGGAGGCCTCACAAGAAACAACGAGAAAATGGTGGTGATTTTCTTCGGAAAGAGGAAAAGCGGGATTTTACATTGAATGAAACGGAACTAACAATAAGCGCTAACTGTATGCGGCACTCATGAGCCGTGGGCATGCCATAAGAGCGTTGTGGACAGGGCTCATGAGTTAATACGGCATCGTTAAGCTTGTCGAGCCCGGTCGTCGCCGCTGACGTCACTGGCGCTTTATAATTCCCATCCATTCTTACGGCCCTCGACTAACGAGCACACCCCTTCTTTCCCACCTGTCTTTGGTTCCGTTTAGCAGAGATACGTCCGAATATCGATTTTTTTTCTGTCTCTGCTCTCTCCTAACATGCAAAAAGAAAAAAAAAGAAAAAAAAGAAAAAAAAGAGAAAAAAGAGAAAAAAAAACGAATGAGTCCTAACTTAGTAACACTTATCGTTCAGTTCCACGTTCCGCGAGAAAAGTGGCACTCTTAGTGTTCGTTGAATAGTTGACAAGAGAGACGAAAGAAAAAAATTAAGAAGAGAAATTAATAGGAGGAGAAAGTCCAATGTTCTTTTTGAATTCTATGATTTTGAATGTTTAGCACGATGATTTGTCAACCCTTAATTAAAAATATATTTCTGATACCATCTAAAATTTCTGCACTTCTCCTCGGACTGAGTTAGGCTGGATTATTTATTCAAGATACTTCTAATTTATATTTACTGACCCGTAAATTCCAATTGTAGAGAATAATCAAGTTGACGCAATTGAAACTTCCATGATCATGAATGCAGAGGGAAATAAGTCTAGACTGATGAACGCGTAATATGAATTTTTTAAATGATATTCTCATTAAGCCTGGCAACAGTGTTTGACATCACACCAACATAACATGGTGGTGTCATTTAAATAACCACCTTGCCTCTTCTCATTACGACGCATGACTGAGCTTTTTGGACCAATACTCGAGGAAGCTCCTTTTAAGTGACGATAGGATTAGCGGCAATGATATATTCATTTATTATGCAACATTCTGATCGCCGGCATCGCAGAAGTAGCATCGCCCCAATTCACTTGATCATTACGGTCAAACCAAACTCGCGAATTTGAATACGGAAATGCGCAAGATTACACATACCTACACAAGATTTACACACTGGCAACACAGTGTAGGATGTCAATAACTCAGATGGTCCGGTAGGTCAAGAAAGGAGGGAAAGAAAAATCATTCCTTTTGGGGCTAAGGCTAACTCATCAAACTGAGAATCTGATTTGACCAAAGTACACGGAATAAAATTTAGGTATGTAGCATTTATCTGGTTAATAAACGGCGCAACCGGAGAGCATGGTAACTTTTATCAAAAGTATCGCGAAAGCTACGAGATTTTTCCCTACTGAGTTACCATACTGTGTGGTTGTGCCGTTTTTTAACCAGAAAACTGCATTAATTGTTACTCAATATTTTTCCGTGTAGTAGGTGTAAAATAACTATTTACACTCATCCAGCATATTTTGATGTCATCATTTGGCATCTGCCACAAGAATGATGACAATGCGTACTTTCAAGTTATAAGCATAACTTGAAATTAGCGTTGATAATATAAAATTCCCTTTTGCGAACCTTTACTAGATGGAGTAAATTTTTGTAGAGAGCTTTTGATTTTCAACTATTTTACAACAGGAGGAGTTGGATAGAACTAAATTTTGAATGACATCGCACGCAGAAGTATGTCTTCCATCTGTTTAAGTTGCAATTCCTTTTCAAACTAGAAAAACGGTCATTTTTACAAAATAATTGATGTCATTAAAACATATTGCTGTTTAAACTGCAGAAATGCGTATCTCGGTCTCCCCGGCGCACAAGGGATCGAGTCAAAAGGAGAGGTCGGACAAAATTTAGCAACTTTAAACACTTTTAACTCCGTTTATACAAAACTTTAAGGTTCTAAAACTGATTCCATTAGTTTCCTCGTAAAATTCTCTTCTCAAAGCACCTCTTTCAGTTTAAAATATGACAAAATAAACAAAAAAATTTGCAGTTTCAGTCAAAATTTCTATGTCCAACCCCTCGAATTGACTCTATCTACTGTGTGGCGTTGCAGCCTTCCTGTCATACTTTATTTTCTATATGAGAAACTGCTGGACGTCATGTTTTGACGATTTTATATTTTCCTCTTTATAAAGAACATTCTGCGAGAACTTTAAGCCAATGATGTTGGTTCGGTCTGCTTCTTAAGATTAAAGAGTAGCGGGGATTTTGCAACTCCGCAACCCAGATATGCATTTTTGCAGCTTCATCGTTGATATGAATAAACTTTCAGATATCAAAACCACCTCAATATTCCTACTAGAAAAAAGGAGCAAAATAGGAATTTCAGCTTACTTGTTCTAGTCAACGATTAATGTTTGAAACAGTGAGGAGTAGCAATTTTCCTCGAAAGGTTCCTGAACAAAAATAAATTTGAGTGAGCCTTGCAGAACAATTATAATATAGAATTAAAAATAAAAATACATTTGACTGAAAGACATTTAAAACTCACTGGACAAACGGACGGGGGCAAGAGGAGGAATCCGGGCGACAAGAATGTACAACTAATGGAAAATTTGAACTAGTAGCATTCACACCTGGTGAAGGGATCGTAGAGGATGAGCCAGGGGTAGAGAATATAGAGTGCAGCCTCGATAACCTCCCCGCACATACCCTCGCGACGACAGGAGAGGAAGGGTAGGAGAAAGGGGATGGTGACGACCATGAGGAAGTTGGGAATCAAGCCGGAGAGCCTGAGGGCGGTCGGCGTGTCGTAGGTGAACTCGGGGTCGGAGGCGTAGGCGAAATAGAGCATGGCCGCAGCTACGCCGAAACACAAAACAATGGTGAAGAAGGACATGTACCAGGTGGTGACGTCCCGGTCCTGGCAGATGGAGGCGTAGAAGATGACGAAGACGCTGGCGAAGATGGCGGCGCAGTAGCCGATGATGGTGTCCATGATGGGCAGATAAAGGGTGACCAAGAAGGCGACGAAGGCCGAGAGAAAGCAGACGACGGTCAAGAGCATGCAGTTGAGCGGGTTTTTGTTGCGGGTGATGGGCTTGCAGAAGAGGAGCAGGAGCAGGAGGACGATGAGCCCGTCGAGGGCCAGGATGGCGTAGAGGAGGTTTTCCCGCGGGATCGTGCCCCCACCCCCGCCTTTGGTCGTCCCGCCCTTCTTCGGGGGGTCCTTGAATTTGAGGAGCTCGGCCTCCCGCGCGTACTTCCCCCCGAGGGCGGCCACCGCCATGACGAACTTGACGAACACCACCACTTCCATCACCTTCCGCACCCAGCAGTTCCCCGCCCGCCCGTCCATCCTTTTAGCCTTTTAGGTTAGGCTTCCCACGCCGTCGACTAGCGTCGAGGCGCCCCCGCCTCCGCCCTCGACTCGGGCACATCAAACATGTTCCACTCAACACACCGAAATTATTCCCTCGCCACTAATACTAATCGCACTCTAATTTCCTGATTTCACCCACCGCAAACATAAATACTCAACAATTCAACGGATCGCTCAAGGAAACATAACCTCACTTTTGACAAAGAATTTGGATCGCGCGGATCAGCTGAGTAGCTGAGTTGGAATTGATGCCTTCTGTTGCCTTCTTGTAACCTTTCTTCCTAAACTTGTGATTTTCTATGAGTGACGCAATTTAATTTCAAGATTAAGTTAAAGGACGTCAACTGCCGAAAGAGAAGAATGCTCTAATTTCAAGGGGTTAATGCTATTCTGAGGAAAAGTGTTAACCTTGTTCGAATTTTCTTTCCTTTTACACGCAGAATAACGCCGTCAAAGATTCCATCACTAACAGTAATTTAACGACTGTATATTTTCTCCAGGGTTGACGAATTTATATCTTGTTTTAATAGCAAATGCGTGGATGGGAAGCTAATAATTTTTCTTCAAATAATAGACACAAATTTTCCATTGTCCAATCATCTCTCAAAATTATTGTTTCCCCAGTTCTACCAAATTCTATCGTCTGCTACCAAAATAAAATAATAATAATTTAAAATCTCTCACTCTCCCTCTCCCCCCTTTTTTTTCTACCTTCTTTTAAGGGAACTCGAGGCGTTCAATTTAAAGTATTTGACCTTATTTGCCAAATTTCGTAAAAAGAGAAGACAAAAATATTTCCATTCTAGTCTATTTTTAGAATGTAAACGTGTTTGAGTATATATTCTTCTTCCGTAAATATTCTCGGGTATCGATCGAAATATCGACCAAAACTTTGAAATAGTGACTATTTTCCTTGACAATTTCTCAAAAATATTGCGAATAGATTGCACGGAGAGCAGGACACGTCTGTAATCCTCAACGTGGAACGTTATCCCAGAGAGCAAGTCGGGTAGATTGCGTAACAAGGTCGTTCCTCGCTCTTCAGAGAGCATCCGCACTTCAANGGGGGGGGGGGGGGGGTCAAAAGGAGCAGACTCAAAAACCGGACCAAGGAACGCGTAATGAAGTGTTTATGGCGGCTCGACTTCCGCTGTTCCGGCGAGGCAAGTTGCCGTCGTTGGCCGGCACCAAGGCGGCGCATGGCGCATGGCGTCGCGTCGATAACTTTCACTGCGGCGCGGCCGCGGCCAGCCAGTTACTTCGCTGGGTTACGCCGCCACCGCTCAGTGGAACGAGTAAACCTAAAATGAGAACTTGGGCATGATGCGGAAACTTTAAAAGCGTACGTTTCCGTCAATGTGAAATGGATTGCATTCAGCAAAAAGGAACCACAAGCGTTCCAATGTTGCTAGAATTGTGCAACTTACATTCTTTGCAAAAAAGTACTAAAATCACGCAAAAACTTAAATTTACAAACGTAATTTTTGTCTTAAATTCATAGTATATCGGGAGTACAGATAAAACTTTTAAAAATGATCAGTTTATATTTGCAAGGTAAAAAAACTTGCAGAATCTTAGTGACTTTAGAATGCTCTTGGTTCCTTCTCGCAAAATGCAATCCAAATGCACAACGGTCAGTTGCGCTGGTCATAGAATTGTCTTTTGATGCTTGTAGATTAGCTTACAAAAAATCGGATCCGTCCAAACAACAACTTTCTATGTTGAATATGAACCGAGATATCGCGCTTTGAAACAGTCGGCTCATGACGTCATCCACCGCGACAGGGCGATACTCTTGGTGTTATCAGTCAGGGAGACACATAGTAACACTGGTTACTCAACGTGTCAGATGAAAGCAAGGTGGAAGAAACCAAGGGTGTCACTACCGCGGTGGATGACGCCATTTAAAGATTTTTTCAAAGCGAGATTTCTCGGTTATTACTGAACCCAGGGAGTTGCTGTTTGGACACATCTTAATATTTTTAGCTGATCTACAGTAAGAATCAAACATCAAAACACGATTCTGTGACCAGCGCAATTGACCCGCCGAATGCCCCTGAAGAATCACAACAGTTGGACGAAATAAACAAAAAAATTTGCAGTTTTGGTAGAAAAACAGTATGTCCGACCTCTACTGGAGGCTTCTTCCTCTGCGCGCCGCGCTGCTCTGCGGCAAGAGGCGGGTCATATTATGCGCAGTTACACTGCACTTGCGTTGGAGCTAAATCCCCCTCCCCCCCTATGCAAGTCCCATGCAGTTGTTAAAATGTACGGACGCATTTTCGAGCTTTCGGTGCAAGGGTGCCAGATTGTGGTGAGATTTGAATATTATAGGGAAACGTGCTGATTTTGTAGCACAATCTGGCATCTTGTTTCGGCTGATGACCTCCTCCGCCGTGCAGAGGAAGAGGACAGCGGACAGCACTGCCGTGCTAAGGAAGAACGCCATATGAGCCATCAGACATTGCCAAGTTTCCTCCGATAAAAACAGAATTTACTGGGAAAATTCTAAGTATTACTCTCCAAAATTTTCAGACAATTATGTTCGCAATTTACTCTAAAATATCTAAAAATTTCGGGGAGGAAATATGTATACATGTCGTCAAAAATACATGTTCTATCGAAGGAAATTTGGCAACTCTCGAATGTTCTTACGGCGTTTTTCCTCACGGAAAAAACAAGACTAGTGTTGAGCACTACTGGCCGTTTAGTGGGGAGTAGTTGAGGGCTGGCGTCTAAGCGCTGTACAGCTCAACACCGGAAGGCAGTACAAGTGGGCACTGAACATGAGTAGTGCTAATCAGATGCCGCGAGACGTAGTTGCGCTTAACAGGTGTAAATTCACCCACGAGACGTCGGAGCCCCGATAGCCTGGTGGTAACGCGCTGGTCTTCCACCGGCGCAACCCGAGTTCGATCCCAGGTGGAGGCGTTTCATATTTTACGCTCGCTCCAAAGTCACTTTAGGGCTTGACACTACTTCTTCTTTAGTGACCCAGCCTCGAGCTGTTTAGTGCCCAGCACTCCTCTGACTTGCTGGCTCCATTTGATCTAACCCTCGTTAGTGCCCAGCACTAACATGTAGGTCCCAACCCTAAGCTCGTTTTTTCCGTGCTTAGCACAGCAGAGCGCTTGTGAAATGACGGTATAGTAACTGCATGGAAATGAAAGGATCGACTTAAGTCCTTGTGGAATATTATAAGTTTCGGATCGTTGAAATTAATAGACAATTCTATAGGGAGGAATTCTGGAGGAACCTAATGGTGCCAGCGGGTGGTTGCAATGGACAAAGGAGGTAGGTATAGACTAACTAACGGCAACCCACGAGCTATACTTAGTCATCATCTTCTCCCTTAGGCTATAGGACTAACCATTTCAACCAATAGAATCGCTCCATACTCCCTACCCTTTTTTGCCTATAGCTTTGTCTATCAATTTCAACAATCAGCCCGCAGTTTGAAGTTTTCTGTTATAAAAAGCGCACGTACTGTGATTGAGGTATAGAACCAATGCTTCTGTTGGCCAAACGAGGATTCGTCTCCTTTACCGAAACATTGTTGTGGAGTTTAGACTTTATCCGGAGGTGGCTACCGCCACCCATAATTTCGATTAGCTGAATGGTAGTTGGGTTTCCTTAAGGGAGCCGTTCATATAATATACAGAATGCTGAGTTTATTTTTTCCACCCTCCTTTCCTAATACATCCGCAGGCGAAATATTTTTCGTGCGTTGGAGACTCAGATATGGTATTTACTTTGAATCCATGATTCAACTGTGGATTCTTAAACATTGCGTTGCTTTCATAATTTTCATGAATCATTGTTTTCAATTACATGTATCCCCTCTTTTCTTGTTTCTAATGAGCCATGTTTCAATTTGATTTGTTTCAGACTTAGCCATTATGAAATTAAACACAGTTTGGTATTGCTATACGCTATTATGTATAGTAATATTTCACACAGTAGTCGCATCTCCTTATGCTGCTCGAAGAATAGCGAGATCAGTAGAAGTAGTAGATGCAGGGTCGTCGGCTGTAGATCAACCCGTAAGTTATTTTTAAATATGTTTTCACCACATAAAAATAAAATAGAAACTTGAATTTCAATCAAAACTGACCCACAATTAATTTTTATAGACCAAAAATACAACTTCAAAGCAACTCCAGTGGCTTTAATTTTTAGACTTCCTTGAAATTATCTCTGACTTCGCTATAAGCACAGTAGTAATAAGGGCATTTGAGGTCTAGGAATATTAATCTGAAAGCTCTGAAAATCCAGCTTAAGTAAAGATGGTAGCAAGGGAAGCTAATCCGAGTAAGTAGCGCATTTTTAAAGGTTAAACTAAAGAATCTATTTCGAGACATTTTCCTTAGACATTTGCACGCGCTTCAAGGTATTTAAAAATGTTGTTTTTTCAATAATATCAATGTAGAATTTTGAGTAATGTTGCGTACCAATCTTAATACTCTTGGCTGACGTTTTGATGGGATTGTAAAATTACTGATTATAAAACATTGCACAGTTTTAAACATTTATTTCCTAAGGACATGTGTCAATGTATCACAGGCAATGACCAATCACCAGCAATTTGTATGCGCATAAAATAATGGGCATCAGCGTGATTGAGGTTTCACTAAAGAGCATCAAGAGCGTGATCTCGGCTCAGAGCGCCTTCGATTTCCCGCGATACTACCCGCATTGCCGCTAAGTTAGTTTAGTTGCCTATCCGAACTCAATGCACCGATTTCATCATGCGCATGCGCGACTGTGCCAGATGGAACCATCGATTCAAGAAGCAGACAATTTCTTTACCAATTTCAAGCATAATCCCTCCGTGCTAAGGAGGAATGCCTTATGAACTTTCGAGAGTTGCCAAATTTCCTCCGATTAAATGTTAATTGTTGAGGAAAATTATCAATATTTTTCCTTGAAATTTCCAGATGTCTTAGATAAAATTACAAACAAAATTACCTGAAAAATTGAAGGAGAAATACTCGTATTTACGAATTTTCTTGAAAATCAGTGATCAAAGAAAATTTGGCAATGCCTGAAGGCTTGTACGACGTTATTCCTTATCACGGCAGAATAGTATCTGTAGTGTTCCTATAATTCTGAACGTTCACATTTTTCTGTCCAACCCTCACAGATTGCTATTTGCCGACGATTGATAATTGCGTGTGACAGATGCATGTAAATCGTCTCACCGCTGACGAAGAAACGTAAATCCTTTCCAGGGTTTCCAGAATGACCCAAATAATTTATATACCTTGAAATAATGTATCCATCAATTTTTATCCAAAATGTATCTGATTTTTGTAAGAAATCGGAGGTAAAATCCAATGAACTTTGAGAGAGATTTGGCAACATTGCATTGGAGTTACATTCTTTTTTGAGGGAAACGAATTAAAATTCTGATTATTCTTTCTTTCATTCGTTCAAAGGCCGTTATGTATGTACACGAGCAATCAAAAATACAATTTTTTCAAATGCACGCTACGACTGAAAAAACGTGGCACCTAGGAAGAAAGAGAATCTTTAAAAATTGCAGCGGGCGTAAAGATTTGGAACAGTAACTTTTCAATAGGAATGTGGACATTGACGGTACGGTTCATTTGTCCTCTCTACTCCGAGAATCGTCAATCGTTATGACTTTGAAATGAGCTCCATCGATTTGTGGATCGGTTTTTTATTTGTATTTTTTTTCGTTGTTTGTTTTTCATTTGAAACGCATGGACTTCATATACTATAAAGAATACCTGATTCGCACTATTCTCGGTATACGTACTGCATCTAATTGGATCAGTGGCATGGGGTGCTTTGCGATATATCGATGAATCTGTCATTTAAACCTTAGGAAGAGGGTCGATAGACAGCGTGTTCGCAACGAGCACCTTAATAATCGATTCTTTACCATAGCTTCAAATGGGGAAATATCGATAATCGATCATTCACGCTTCGCCACTGAGTTGGACCCAGACAATAGTCGCTGTTTGCGTCCAACCGGACTTAGATCTGCGTTATCTATGACCCATATCCTGTATTAAATCTGATTGGAGTTAATTTAGATTTACATCTTTACCGTTAATCAACAGAATTTAATCTGTTGTATGACAGAGTTGGACAGAGTTGACAATAATTACGACAGAGTACGAATGAGAAAGTGGCAATATTTTGGCTGGGAAAAGGATGGTATCGCTATGAGTCACAATTGCTCTGAGGGGGTACGAACGGAAGGATATTGTAATGGAGTCATACCAAGCGCGTGATATACTCGTATTCAAATAAGAGAACTGAATAGGATCTGGATAGGTCGTTTATTTTACCAACACGTCTACACGCCTTCCCTTTAGGGCTGGACACACGTTCAAAGTGAGGTTTCAAAGGGATGGCTGTTTAGCCAAGTGTTGCCATCGATTACCGCATCGATGCGCAACACTCGACTAAACAGCCACTACTTTGAAGCTTCACTTTGAACGTGTGTCCAGCCCTTGTGGCAAAAGAAAAATGACGGTGGTGCTGGAATTTGAAATTGACCAGTGCAACAATGACTGGTTGATGTAATTTTGTGGACGGGAGGGCAGTTGATATTTATAATGTGCACGGTGACTAACTTAGTGGTCATTATTCATTTTATAAATTACATTTCTACCGCCAATAGCTGAGGGCTAGCACTCTCCTCAGTGCAGATCTCTCTCCGAGGAAAACAGCACTTGAGCGGCCTTGCAGGTATGTTTTCGCCTATGTTTGCAGCATAAGTTTGATTTTTTCTTTCGAGGTTACATGGTCTTGGTGAAAAACTCTTCCATTTTCTGAAATATTTGTCATGATGTACGCTTGGTTTTGAAGTCCAGGACTTCATCACTCCTCCACCGAATGTCTTGGCACAAATGAATGTTTCATCTTTATCTTCTTTTTTACTTCGAAAGCTGTCCGTCGTGAAAAGAAAATAAGCTTTTTGTAATTCAGTCTGAATTTGCCCTCAGGGGCGTAGCTAGGAAATTTCTCTGGGGGGGGGGGGGGGGG